GATATTCTTTCCCATGCTACTCGTAAGCGTGTCGTTGACGAGGTGAAGCATATCCGCTCTATCGGCAACAAGGGTTCTATTCCTGTTTTACTATGGGCAAGTATCCCTTGTACTGGCGGAACTGCTTGGTCTCATGTTAACATGAATCATGACACGGCGAAAGAGAAGGTGAAGCGACATCGATCCATTTACAAAAGAATTTGGTCTGCCTTCATGGACCTCGTGAACTCAATGGAATTTGCCAAACCGTTGATTGCTATTGAATGGCCCAGGAGTTGCACTTACTGGGACGATAAGGCCGTTGACAAGTTCGTTATTCGAAACAACATGACTCCTGTTAAGTTTGATGGTTGTGCTGTTGGTGTCAAAACTACCGATGGGGTTCCTATGAAGAAACCATGGACTGTTAAGACCAACATGCATTGCCTCCACAATTACCTTGATGGAAGAGTATGTTCTTGCACTGTCCAACATGCTGAGGGAAGGGGACAAAATCTCAAGAATACAGAATCCTACACATACATCATGACTGACTTGGTTCACAAGGCTTTTGCTTATGCAGTGTCGGTTCGAGAGAAGGTTGCTGAAACACGTATACTTGTCGCGACCATGGCTGAAGCACTGCCCGTGGAGAAGGCCTTGAAGACGGTACGCTCGGCGTTCTCCGAGAGGCACTACAAAGATGTACCGCTTGCTCGAGTTGACTACGGCTCGGACTACATCCTGCACGATGGGAAGGTGAAGGCCGAGGTCATCCCCGACGAGCTGCGCGTCGCCAACCGAGAGGCTTGGTCAGACATGTTCCGTGATGCGGCAACTCAATCATTCATCGTCAAGGACGTGAACTCCGGTGTCGACCTTGCCAAGATGAGTGAACGTACCGATGCGCTGGCTCTCGCCAAGAACGCCATGTCATCGTTGACAGGTACTGCGGGAATTCTCAAAGAGGCTCCGGCTGAGGCTTTCGACATCCTCTTCTGCCCGGGGAAACCCGCGGTCAACTATCTGTTTTTCGGCGACTCCTTCAATGCGTTGGTCAAAGATGGAGCAAAGACAGATGTTGGCACCATCCTCAAGGAGAATAAGCGGACGCTCTTTGGGCACAAGCACGAGGTCTGGTCCGAAATGACATGGGGCAAAGGACTAGCAGAATCTCTTGACGCTGCTGAGCGGGCAATGCTAAAGCTCGCCGAAAGGCCTGAGCCCCGGCCGTACGTCATCGTGATCTCGTGGTCCGGGAATGACGTTGTCGGTCGTAACGGTTACATCGACAACCCCGCCGCCCTAGCGGGCTGGGCCACTGATTCCGAGGCAAAGCGGAAGGCTGCGATGGACATCATCGAAAGGAATGCCCGAGCGGTGATGACTGTCCGTGATCGGCTACGCCATATTGCTTTTCGGGAAGACGTCGTCCAGGTCGTCCTCATCGTGCCGAGGGACTATGAGACGTATGGACTGAGTGAATCTTACAAGACTCAGATGGACGGGCATGCTCGTTTGTTGCATGGTTCCGCGGGAATCACCGTCCTCGACCCCCAGACTCTCATATCCAACACGTCTCGAGCTGACCGCATCCACACCGATGACACCGAGCGGAACAGGAAGCACTACATCAATTATTATGTGGCCGCCGCCAAGCTCGGGTACTGCATTGGCCAAATCAACCGCTTCGAAATGGCGATGAATTGGTACCGCCTCGAAAGGGAATACATGAACATTGACACATCTATCCCGATCGTTGGCGCTACACCCCAGGAAACTGGCGGTCCGGCAATTGCAAAGAACCCTGAGGACCCTTTCGACAATGAGGTCCGTGAGAGGGAGTTGGAGGCGATCAACGAAATCGCCGCGCAAGAGCCGAAGCGCGAGATTTTCCTGGAGACTGAAAAGGAGGCAAACCCCCTCTACCCCCTTGACACCGTCAAGGAGGAAGCAAAGATCTTACAGATGATGCAACCCGACATTCACGCGGCGACCGTCAGCGGCCTCAACGATGTGATTGATTGGTCTTCTTCTTCGGATGAGGAGGACCTGATCAGCTTCGACCTGCCCCCTGGCTCTCAGCCTAAGGTCAGCCGGCCGAAAGGCCAGGCCGTTGAGGTTGCCGCAGTGGATCCGAATGACATTGGTGAGGACGGCCAAATCAAGCTCATCCTCACTTCCAAGCGGAAAAGTCATAACAAAATGACTGCAGCTCTCAGTGCTGCGACACCAAAGGTGAAATCAAAGGCAATGCCAATGCAGAGATCCGTGGCCCGGAGATCACCCCCAAGGCGAAGGCAGTTTCCAAAGCTGCTGGAAAGGTCGGGGAGACCCGTGGCCAGGCTGCTGAACCCAAGAGGGAGTGGATCAAGTGCTCAGGAATCAAGATTCCCCAGATCCAGAACTATGGCAGAAGGACGTTCTTGAGCAAGAAGGTGTCGTATTTGGTTCGCGGACATGCCCACGAACATGCGACGCGATCCATCCCTGAGATCAATCTCAAGGACAACTCCTTCGACTACGCAGCCGTCGCCAAATGGATCCAACGACGATATGACTGGAACTGCACCCAATACACTCTTCTTCAGGCCACGTCCACATCGAATCGGTTCGAGGTCTATGTCGAGTACGCGCCGGCCGGGCAGCAATGGAACGGGCTCAGTTTCATGCCGCTACGCATTCGCGCGTTCACCGGCCACAACGATTGGGTGACCGAGGCCAGCGGCTTTGACAATATTCCTGGAGATCCCATTGCAATGGATGCCAATTACACCATTGAGCACGCAAAGAAGGGTGTGCGACCGGGCTTCTGCAAAGACTTCTCGGACGCACGCCGAAAGGCGCTGCCCAAAATCGCCTACCACACGTGCAACATGCAGAATTTCTTTGACATCATCTACATGGGCATCTTTCCGGGCGGAATGGGAGACCGGCAAACCTCGCGTGGTCACGCCTACCTAACGGTAGTGCCTCCTTGGGACAGGCATGGCCGGAAGGCGGGTGGTGCGCGTGCTGACCGACCCATCAACATCGCCGTCGATGTGGAAGCCCTGGTGACGGAGGATTGGATCACGAACAAGGTCCTCATTTACGCCTACGACGCTGAATGTGCAAAGTTTATCTGGTCTAACCGGATGTATGTCAGCGTCAGACGGAATTACCAGGACAGCATCAAGAAGTATCGGGAAGAGACCCAGAAGGGCGTTGTCGGGACCCCAGTGCTGGAATCGTTCATGGCGAAGGCAGAGAAGGAGTGTAAGCTCTATTACAAACAGTGGGCCCCGACGGCGTGCCGCGACATGACGCGGCCCCACCGCATTGGCAATGTGACGAAGGTCAGGGGCATTTACGATGAGAACCTCCCGAAGGAAGAGCAGGTCGCGCTTGAATTCGAGACCGCCCGCTATGGCCTCTACAGAAACTGGGCCCGAGCTGTGACGCAGCAGCCCGGGGAAACCCGAGGCCGGAGTGGTTTGTGGCAGGACTTGGATCCCAACAAGCAGAAGTCGACCAACTGGCGCTTCGCGGAGGTCATGCACATCCCCGACGTTGAGTGCCCGCGCTGCAAAATCCTCATCCCGGTCGGCACCATCAACTGCTTCCAGTGTGACCGTCTCATGGAGCGCATGCCCGATATCAAGAAAATAGCCAGGGTCGTCCGATTGCAGGAGATGGCCAACAGCTTGGGCGTGCCGCTTTCCATGGACCAGGTTGAGACTCAGATCTTGACGCAGAGGAAGGATGCGCGAGGGGATCGAAGCGCAAGAGGGGGCCTCGGGATCATGAAGGACATTGCCAAGAAAGCAGTTCTTCGCAACAAGGAGTACGCCACGTTGTACGAGAGGCTGATCAATGACCCCTTCTATGCCTACACTGCCGCGCGGGGAGACCTGACGCCGTCCGCCCTCGAGTTTATCGAGAAGGTGGCACGATGCATTATTCCGAGTTTCGGGAGAACCAAGGAAATGATCCAAGGAAGCGTTGCTGTGCCGAAATATCACGCACGGCTAACGCTGGTGCCGCCAACGGAGGACGTGCAGGAGGTCGATCCGAAGGACGTGTATGTGGTGCATGGTGGCAGATTTCTGGAACCAGAACAATTTGCTGCATTGTATGGAAGCCTTGACAAGAGCAACCGCTACCCCGTGATGGGCTGGACCCAGGATTTCTCGTCTGTGGGAGACCCCGAAATGGTATTGGTTGAGTTGCTTTGCTTCGTCGAAGAGGAGATCCCCGGCATCGAGATCCCTGGACGAGCCACCCCGCTCCCTGCAGTTGTCGGTGTGACGCGCAAGCCCATTCCGCAGCTCCGGGAGACCGGTGGCCAATGGCAAGATCGTTGGAGCCAGTCGTACTGGGGAAGCTGGGGCCAATCCTGGGACTCATGGTGGTCTGATGATCAGCGCCCGTGGAAGAGCTCCCGCAATTGGGATTGGCGATGAATGAGCGATCTCTTCAACAATATTTTCAATCTTCGGCTGACATCCATTTACATTTCAAATTCAATATTCATTATACTTCTCAATCCATGTTGGCCGAGGATCAATGTACAGTGCATGAGCACGCCTCGCGAGAGCGACGGTCAGTGGAGGCGGAAGACCTTAACTGCCGGTTGCTCGAATCCAAGTGCTTGTGTACTGCAAAAGGACTTCATGCCGATCGGGTTTCTTTGGTTGTTTTATCCCTTTCATTTGTCCTCCTGTTTCACATTCGGGCACGGGGGGTGTAGTTTGTAACGTGATGCATTTATCAACCATGTAAAACCCCAATGCATGAATGTCTCACTTGCGCAGTCTCATCATTACGACTGCGTATGGCTCAAGGAAAAAGCGCGCTGAGTACAGGGTTCATTTGTGACCCTTCCCGGTTGTTTAACCTGTTCTATAGATTGCTTGTCTCCACAAAGATGCATATTCCCCACAGACTAATTACCCCTTCTCCCAAGCAAAAGGGGGACACGACTCATAGTCGTCTCCCGACAAGCTACCCACCCAAACGCGAAACAGCTTGACTGCCAGGGGCCATTGGCGCCGGACGCTGGGCATGGCCGAAAAGAAGCCGTGCCCAGCAAAAGTGCGAGAAGGGGAGCACCTAAAATTGCATTGCACTTAGAAAGTGGTGAGTAAGCCTGGTTCTAACCTACTTACCATGGTTATAAGTTATAAGTCTCCTGTGAGTGGCTCATAACCAGGCGCACTACCCACTTCCTAAGAACACTGCCCTTTGCAGCAGGACAGACATGCCCCGTTGGCTTCTCTTCAGCCAGCCAATAGACTGAGCACCCCCCAAAAATCAAACCAAATGCAAACACATGTGTATGCATTGGGGTCAGAAAGCTTCTTTCATACAAAGCCGACTGACGTGTGATACTGCTTCGGATCTCAGACAGCAATCAATGCGGATGCCACGGGTACTGTAGCCTAACATCCCACCAGGTGTGAGAAGTCCACGCGAGCAAATCGCATACGATCGCGTGCGACACGCCAGAGTTGCTCATGCGCGTGCAAGGAAGCTGCGCATGCGCCCAAGTGTTGCTATGTAGGGGTGTGTTGTGTGCTTTTGCTCCTGGATGGGTTGTTCTAGGCCCCCCCCCTGGAAACAGCCTCCATGTCCAGCAGCCTTTGGCGCAAGCAGAGGGGAGTTGACTGCGTGTCTCAAGCCCGCTGCCCTGTAAAGAGCTGGTTCAAAACCGACCGTTAAAACAAGACTCAGCTTGGCTCACACGTGGACTGGCTGAAAACTGTCTTTTGAGACCGGTGACCCAGGTCGAGTTGTTTTGGAAAATTATGTTCGTGCAATATGTATTTGTTTGCGGCTCGGCACCCTGGTTGGGTTGGTGCGAAAGGGAAACCAAACGACTCAATTTGAGGCTCACGGCCTGCTTTACGCCCGCGGAGCTTGGAACAAAGCCAGCAGTGTTGGCTCCCAGCCATGCATGGCCGAAGGCGGGATCCTTCGCAACGTGCGCGTTCGTATGGGGGGAGCCCTTGACGCGTTGGCCTTTATAAGGGCTCTTTGTTTGGATGTTAGGGTACATGAATGTAATATTATGAGTAGTTGGCAGGAGAAAGTTTCACTTGCCTTTTGTTTGCCGGCCTTTTTGGTTGGAGTACGTGTTTTGCGCGGATGATAGCTCAGTTTGGGGTTGCGGGGTCGGCTAGCCCGAAAGCAAAGGCCTGAGAAGCGCTGCTCGAAACTCTCCGAGGGAGTCAGCAACACAAAGGGGTTTCTCCAAGAGAATTTCCATAAGCCCCTTGAGTGTGATTCGCATAGATCAAACAGAATCGGACCACTCCTTCGAAGCGCGAGCCAGGGCAAGGCGAGCAAGAGGCCTTGGCAAGGGAGGGACGACGATTCACCAGGGTTTCTTAAAGGATGGGAGATTGTGCAAAATCCAGCTGTTTACCAGCTGTTTCAGAGAGGCTTCTGCCTGTACCGCGTGATCTTTAGATGTGTCCTTTAAGGGACCCGGTTTGCACCCGCCGCACCAAACTTGGAATTTTGCGAGGTTTTTTGCATGAGGCTTGGCAACAATGAGCCCTGTCGCACGGAATACTTGGCCGAGTTGAATTCTTGCCCTAAGCGTCGGAGGGAGGCGCAGGATCCCCGCAATGAAGTAAAGGGCCTGCAGAAGGACTGGGGGGCTGGGGGGGGGGAAGCTTTCTCATTCCATGTTTGTTAGAGGGAGAGTAGCGTTTCAGAAGCCTGCTCAGAAGCATACTCAGCCATGCCCAACTTCTCCAGAGCACACTTTATTTCAATCTATGCATCTATCTCATCCCACTTCAGCTTTCATTGGTTTTGCCCATTGGCAGAGACGCTTGCCTGAAATAGCTTTGCTACCTTCTGGAGCAACGCAAAGGCTGCTGTGAAAGAGGCTGATGCTGCGCACCAACACTTGCCGCGAACAAGAGAACGCTCAAACGCGAACTTCCTTTTCAGTCCGCGCATCTACCCTGTGGTTCTGATGTTTGAGCAATCTCGCCTTGGCCAGCAAGGCTGGGTAACAAGTCTCCTTGCACCATGAGCCCATGTGGCCGAATATGCTTGTCGAACGCAAAGGCCAGCTTCGGCGGGGCAATCTCCTCCGCAGCGGCGGGGTCCTGTAGTCAAAGTTTCAACGCGAACATCCAGAACACATGCAGCAAGTCGACAGCATGCCCCCGCGCTCTCCGAAAAGCAGACCTGTGCAGGTCGACGCGCGCTTTGACGGATAGTGATGGCACCAACGCCACTGGCTCAGAGGTTGACACCCAGAAGTCTCTTGCGTGTGAATGATGAGCCCATCGGACAAGCAGACGCACAACATGCCTGCCTTTGCTCAGCACCTCCTTCTTTGCGGGTGTCACAGGCATCAAGCCCGCGGCGTGGAGATCGGCATGGGTGATCACGTTGTCGCGTTGTTGCCTGCAGGGGCTTGAGCTTTGCCCCCGCCCATTTCTCGCATGTTCCTGGTCAGAAACCCCAGCTTCGCGGCAAGGCTCCTCTGCTTCCCAAACTAAGACCAGGGGCTGCCCCGGAGTGACCAACTTGCGCTGTAAAACTTCCAGGTCCTTATGCAGAGGACAAGGGCAAGGACCCTCCATCTTAAACCTAAATCGCAGACAAGGCTTTGGCGAGAGCCGAGCTTCCGCAAGTTTTTCAAGGCGGCTCTCCTTTTTCTCTGCAGCTGCAGAAAGGCCGGCGTGTGCACACAGGTGTGTCGCAAGACGTGCTGGAGATGGGGGAGAGTAGGTTTCTGATCCCCGCGCAAATCGCCCGCCGATTCTTTGCCTTGCCATCCAGCACGGCCCTCGGCGCATTTTGGCCACAGCAGATCCTCTCATGAACGCTGCCCGCAAGACAGGCAAGTAGTGCTTCAGAGTGACTTGGGTGGGCAGCAGGAAATCCACCAAGGGTAGATCTATTTGAGCTTCCTCTGCCCGTGTTTACAGGCGCCACGTAAATCACGCGAGAGTTGCGAGCTGGTTGCTGCTTGTGCGCTGAGCAATCGAATGCTGCAGGCAAAGGTTGATGACCGCATGAAGCGTTTCAATTGCAGCAGCTCTCACTCAAGGATGTGCTTCCCTCCGCTTGCGCTGGACTGCAAAAAACTTCACTAAAGCCCTTGTCTCTTGCTCATGCTTGCCTTGATTTGCGGCGGACAGGTCATGGCACGAAGCTGCTCGGGTGTCTGCTTTGTGCACAGGGTGTTCAGCTGCCCTTAGAGAGGCGGGGCTCGCAGCTTAAATGTCGTTTTCACCCGGGACCTGTGTGAGCAAAAAATTAGCTTGAACCATTGCGCGCTGATCAGCCGCAGTGGACCAGTGAAGACTTGCAAGTGCAAATTTGGCCGCTGGGCCGCTGGGCCGCTGGTCAGCGAAGTTCGCTGGTCCGCTGGTCCGCTGCTGGGCGCGCTCTTATTCCTCTGTTTGTTGAACTGGTCACCCTTTTGGTTCTTTGTTGTTCCAAGGGGCTGGGGTCGGGTTTTAACTGTCTCTTTCTTCTTGGTGGGTTTGGGTGTGTGTTTAAGAAGGCCACTGGGGTTCCACTCACTGTAGAAAAGCCTGGTCGGCTGGCCAGCTCCCGGACTTTGGAGAGGGCTCCTACTGGGAGGCGCGCGTGGGGAAGGGCATAGCTGGGCAAGAGGCAGGTTGGGGACCAAGAAGGGGAAGGTCTGACACCCTAAAAAGAATGAGAAAGAGAGAGGAAGAGAAAGAGGCCAAACAGCTGAAAGAATGCAGATAAGGAAGGAGAGAGAAGGAAGGAGGGAGGGAGGGAGGGAGGGAGGGAGGAGAACGAGAGAGAGGGAGAGAGAGAAAGAGTTTCGGTTGGGCGCATTGTTTGGGTTTTGCTGACAACTTCAGAAGCTGAAAACTGCAATTCCCCCACAACCCACTACTTGGGGGGGCGGGGGGAAAACTGGTGCCAGTTGTGTTGTGCCATCTTGGCAGGCTGATTTTTGTCCTGAATGGCCAAGACAAATTGCAGAAATGGATTGGCATCCAGTGAATTCGACACAGGGCGCGATGGAGGTCTTGAAGAGATCAGCTTGCATGGCTGCAGCGCACTGGAAAATCTAGTTCAATAAAGACATGGCAGCAAGGCCTACTGGAAAGTCACAGCGACCATTCTGGACGGCCCCCTTAGCCTCAATGCAGCCAGCTGGGAACAGTCTGTGACGAAACTGCGCAACAGCCGCAACTGCACATCCAAGAACGCTTCGGCCACGTTGTCGCTCGTCCAGCTCATGCGGGTCATTCTTATTTGATTGGGCTTTTGTGCTGACAGGAGCACTATGTGAAAGCAGCTGCGGAGGGAGAGGACGCGATGTGACTGAGTGTCAACATGCTTTGCTAACCTTTTAAGCAGATCAAGTTGATCCGCACCAACCGCCGGGACTTTCCTTTTGTCGCAAGCAGTTGAACTAAACTACCAAATCGCCCTGTCCCCAGCACAGGTCTGTGCAAGAGTCAGTCGCCAGGATGTCTATGATTGGTTGGTGGGGCGGAGCCCTCAGAAACGCTGCCTGAGACCCAAGCCGCTTCCGTTTTGCCTCTTCTTCGTTTTTGGGACGACGTCTCAATACCTCAGCAATCTTTGGACTTCGACAGTGACTATGCCCCACTAGCCGCCAGCAGATTGCAGCCTGGCCGCCGGCCGCTTTTCAAGGATGGACAAGGATGGACAAACCAGCTCAAATCTACTGGGCAAAATCTACCGGCCTTTCTTCGCGTTCAACTCTAAGCCATGATGGTGGTGCAACCGAAGCGTGCAAGTCCCAGCACTGTCCCGTTCCGAAATATTCCCAGGCCCATGAAGAGCTGTTGCGAAGTGCGGCACGGAACCCAAAAAATGGGCGGGCTCCTTTTGGTTCCCTTTAAGGCAGCCCCAAGGCCTGCCCAGCCTAAAGGCATTCCAACTTCCATGTGCTTAAGAATACGCGTTATTTTCTCTTTTTGGTTTTAAAGGGGGAATCTATCACTACTGGCAATGTTTGCTCAGTTTTTCCAGAGGACGACAAAACTTGGTGGCTCCGAGCCATCCCCTTAGCTTTTTAGTTTTTTTAGTGTGTAGTGCGGTTTTCCATTCAACCCACTAAAAGGCAGCCCAGAAAAGAATTAGATCTCAAGGTAAAGGACGCATGAGTTGGCTTGCTTGCGCCGATCGATGTCTGTTGACACTGTGGATGTGGCCACGTGGCAAGAGCTGGCGGAGCGTCCCTTGGAGTGAAGTTGTCTCAAGGATACGCGCGTCGATGTCTGCACAGTAAAAGTTGTATACACTCACTCACTCACTCACTCACTCACTCACTCACTCACTCACTCACTCACTCACTCACTCACTCACTCACTCACTCACTCACTCACTCACTCACTCACTCACTCACTCACTCACTCACTCACTCACTCACTCACTCACTCACTCACTCACTCACTCACTCACTCACTCACTCACTCACTCACTCACTCACTCACTCACTCACTCACTCACTCACTCACTCACTCACTCACTCACTCACTCACTCACTCACTCACTCACTCACTCACTCACTCACTCACTCACTCACTCACTCACTCACTCACTCACTCACTCACTCACTCACTCACTCACTCACTCACTCACTCACTCACTCACTCACTCACTCACTCACTCACTCACTCACTCACTCACTGAGTTCCTGGACTTGAGTCACTCTTTGGGTTTGGACCATTTTAGTGGTCAATACAAAGTTTGGACTTTTTTGTGCCATCCACCTAGGAAATAGGTCTAATATGTATATGCCTACATATGTATATATATATACATATATATATATATATGTACATAGTATATGTAAAAAAATGCATGCGCAGCTCGCCCAGAAGTCCGTACCTCGTTTGATCCGAGCTCCTGCATCCATCCCGTGCAGATTCATATCAATAGATAGTATTTGCATAGTTTATGGCGAGCTCTGGGGGGGTTAAACGAGCGGATGCCATGGTAAAGACCCTCCACTTCCTTTCCTTGCAGGTTTTGGAATTAATGTTAACCCCAGCCAAAAAATAACTGTCTAAAAATATAGGGATGTCCCTGGTGTTGGTGGGGATTTATCACTTTTGGAGGGAACACCCCCAAAGTTATAAACAGGGGTTTATTATTCCGGGGTCAACATGATTGTAAAATGTGCAGATATATGGTATGAGGCATCAGCTGAATCCTTGATCTGCTCATGGCTGTATCACCAGGCCATGGACTCATCAGGGCATGAAAATGCAATCAGCCTTTGCCAAGCTTCCTGACCAGCCTGGTTGTTTTGGATTTGGCTCCTGTGGGCCCTGCTTACAAATCTGAGCTACCCGCATAAAGGGGCGATCGGGCACTTGGTAAGTGGCTAGTAAGCCTGGTTATGACCCACCAGAGCCACAGTTGTTGAGTCTCCGTTCAGTGGGTTCTTTCCACCCGGCTTGCGCTTAGCTGACTTACCCTGCCCCATCTCCTGACTTCCCCTGCGCTTTAAGTAGTTCAAACAGTTGCCTGATCTGACCTTTCGGTTTTCCCAAATTTTGGTCCCCATTTTTAGTGGAGGTGCCAAAAGGTGATCACCTTTTATTTCTGGGTCCTTGGGGCAAATGAGTATAGAAAATGGTATGAACCCTCAGCTCATGAGCCCTTCCACTTCCCTGACGTACCCATGGATCGCGTCGATATCCAGGCTATGACGGCTTCATCTTCGACCTCTTCGGGGTCCTCCACGACGGCTGTGGCGCCCTGCCGGGAGCGCCGGAGCTGATCGCCCGGCTGCGGAAGCGCCTAAACCGAACTCCAGTTGAGATGGGTGGAGTACTGGGAGAAACCACCTACCAACTGCACGACTTGGTCCAGAGGTGACATAGTTGATTATGTGTTCCCCCCCAAAAAAAAACATCAAAAAGAGGCTGTAGCTCATTTAAAACACAGTTCACCTGGCAAATGCAACACTCCGGCTAGGTGGCCGCACGGCCAAAAGCATCCACCGGGCCTGGGTTGATGTTGGACCTTGAGCAAAACTGGTTGTTTTCCCTGTGACAGCCTGCAAAAAAAGGGGGTACCTGCAGAAGAAAGTGGCATTACTGTTTCATGGCTCCACATTGCCAGAATGGTCGATATACTTACAAGAAAAAGATGAATACCTTTCCTTGTGTCAGCCGGCCTGCTGTGCTCAGGATGAACAAGAAGCTGGTGATTCTGAGCCACTGGGATGCTCTTCGGAGCGAGCCGCGTTGCCCCAAAAGCTGGGTTTGCCCAAACGTTCGGGCCCTGAACGCACGTGTCTCCAAGAGGGTGAAACTTACAAAGCATATGATCCTTGTTTCTCTCCCAGGGGTACCTTCAATCTTCACAAACAAAAAGAAACAAATAACAAAAACATCAGCAAACAAGGGGCTACCTTGGCAAAAACGGGCGACTCCCACTTCAGACGCAAAATGGCCCCGATGTTCGGGCGGAGCCACGCTTCGCTGACGGCGAGGCTCCGGGCTCCCAGGCTTCCGGCTCCCGAGCCCCACGGCTCCCGAGCCCCAAAGGTTAGCTTCAGGGCCGGGCACAGTCTTGAAGCATCGTGAGAAACACGAAGTGAAGAACACGAAGCTTGTCGGGTTTCTGGTTGTTTCTCAACATAAACCGGGGGAGGGATTCTGGGGTTGGTCTTTTTTTTACGAGCTCCGCTCGACCAATGGTTGGTTCTTGATGTTTGCAAGCCTGCTTGTGGTAAGTGGGCACCAGACAGAAGATGAGAATTGTCTGGTTATTTCTGCGATTCAACGATTGTTGGCTGGAAGCAAGACACAGGCAAGGGAACAGCTGGAAAGAGGATGTCCTGCAGATGTGTTGGCATCTTCCGTGATTGCTTCATGTTTTTTCCAGCTACATGCTTGGCTCGCGCTCAACTTTTGTTTGGCTTCAAGTGGCCGCGTGCATTTTGGGCAACTCTCTGAGGCAACTCTTCCAAGCGCGCGGAGTGGGCGCTCAAGGAGACCGGGTCAGGCCAGGTCAAGCCAGAAGCTGAGCCACAAGAGCCCAGATGAAACACCCCCGATGGATTTTCATGGGGCTTCCCATTTCTCACTATTTCCTGGCTTTTAAGCATCTTTTTGGGGGAAGACCGAATTTTAGTGGTCTTTTTTTTGGCCAATCGCTCAGATATAAAAACAAATCCGTGTCACTTTGGGAGGAAAGACCCCCGAAGTTACAAGATCGACCCCTTGGCGTGGCTTCATGGCTTCCTGAAATCGGATTCGAGTGGAGTCCTAGTCGCTTTTAATTCCAGGTTCCGTTTGCCGATGCTGTGGAAGGACACACATGCTGCACCACCTAAGAAAACCCGGAATGGTGTTTCCCTGTAAATACCAACAAATTCATGGGTTTTCCAGGGTTTTAAAGTTGTTCAGGACATCCACAGTAGGGGGACCAAAAATTACCGCTGGGCCCTCGCCCCAATTGTTGGGTTTAGGCTTCGGACGGAGCAACTTGGTGAATGCCGTTGGATCGCGATGTCTACCCTGACTTCTGTCGGAAAGATCAGCAGCTAGGAACGGTGATGGGAGCAATGTGCGACCTGAGTTCCTGGACTTTAGTCACTTTTGGGGGAAGGCGATTTTAGTGGCACACAGAAAGTTCCGACTTGGTTTGATTGATTGACTCAGTTCGGAAGTGAGGTTTGGGGCATTTCGTTGGGGCCAATCCACGCAGTTTGGCCGGACAAGTTGAGACACACCTAGTCGGCGACCAAAGGCGAAGACATTGAGTCCTCCTTCCGTAGCAGGGAGTGTCCAAGGGTTTTCCTACCCTGAAATCATCTGAAATCACGCCCCTTTAGGGAATCACCCTAGCCTATGTCCAGATCAAATCTTGGGATTATTGGGGTTTCTTTGGGGATTCTTCTGGGGGCAATTTCTCGAGGGTGTAATCAAACCTGTTTTTTGTTGGATTCTTCTGGGGGCAAATTTCCCTAGGGTGTCATCCCAGGGCGTAAATAGGAACATCTTTAGCATAGGTGTCCTTTTCGGTGGTTTTGCTCGAAAAAAACAAATCCCATGGGTTCCGATTCCTGGTGTTTGTCTGGTGGTTTTTCCTCTACCAGGGAAACCCATCAAGGACCCAACCTAAAAGGGCACCCATTTTGGTTGGTAGGTGAATTCACCACCCATTTTAGAACCTGTTTTAGTGGTTGGGATTTGGGATTGGGGTAAACCCACCTGGGATTTTCGCACCGTTTTGCTCCGAGAGCGCGGAGACGTTGGGCGGGCGTTGGGCGTTCGGAGCTCAGGAGCTGCCGAAGCTGGGCTTGGACCCGGAGGCCTTCGTGGGTGCCATCACCTCCGGGGAGGAGGCGCCCCTGCGTGGGTAGGGACCTTCCCCAGAATTCGGTTCCCCCTTTTTGATATATATATATATGGCTTTTTGGGGGGTTCCTCTTTTTTTATATGTTTTTTTGGGCTTTTTGCGGGGTTCCCTTTGTTTTCCACTAGCCAGGCAAGAAGTATTTT